AACAAAACCTTTTCAATATAAAGTAGCTTGGTTTTAATACATTGAGTCTGATCAAAGTAACAGTAGCTTCTAGTATAAATAATACATAACAATACCAATGACTTCAAAAAGACACACTATATATTTGATTTAATATATTAATTAAAATGTATTCTTGCATTTGCAGAATTTCTAATTAATTCTTGTTAATTCATATTAGTTGATCTATAAAATATCCAACAACAAATTAAATAAATTGTGTGAGAGAAGATAATAATAAAAAACATATTCATTTATTTTTGTATTTACATTATTACTAAATTGTTTTGAATAAAGTTTGAAATTTTCTAAATGCACGCAAGTACAATTAATTAATAAGTAGTACATATCTAATTTCACATTTACAATACACATGACCTATTGCACTTCGTTTGCACTGCTATATAATTTTTTGTAAAATACTTTTTTTAATTCGTATTGAAAGTTTCAATTCCACATTGTAAGACAGATATAGCGTGATAGAATTCTTCCGAAAATACCAGGAATGTCAAAAAATGTTAATAGGCAATGTTGAAGTGTATTAGAGGGCCAATTTTTTGGTGCAATTTATTTTTCATTAGATAAAAATGTTATTTCAAATCAAGGTCATAGATAAAGAAATAATTGTAAATATTTATTCATTCGTTACAAAGATGTTCCAATTATTAACTTCCATTTTGCACATATGTATATGTATATGTTACAATTGTTTTTCTGCATAACTGTCCCTTTTGTTTCCAAAATGACACTTATAATTTACGTTTACGATCACAGGATAACGTTAAAAGCATAGTTCCAACAATTCAAACATCTCTTTAGAGACTGACAAGATACAACTGCTTTTTCTTTATCTATGACCTCAATTAACCTCGAGTGACTATAATCTTTGAGTTCGTCAGAATGTAGGTCATATTTATGCATATATGTATAAAAACATGCAGTCCATTAAAAAAACAGCGACCTATTTAAAAATCTTCTTGACATTTTCATGTAAAGCAAATCAATTAAACAAAAATATTGATCCTTTAAAACACTTGTTATGCACTGAAACGCTGTATATGTATATTTAAGTGCAACTTTATACAATGCAACACAACATAAAATTAATAAAATTTTATCTTTGTTGATATAATACATGTTATTAACTTTACATTATTGTTTTCATAAAAAAATCGATTTTTTATGAACGCATTCATTGCCGAGTGTAGTTCAGTTGGTTTTCTACCAAATATACTGTACCTTAATGTTATTCGATGGTATACACAAGTTGTGCAATAGTCAAAATCATGACGATAATTGATCGGAATTGCAGCGTATCCTAACAAGTTTCAAAATATAATCTTGAAACATCAAATTTAAAAAAAATGCAAAAGCCAACAATTTGCCTTTCTTTTATCCTTTAAAATGGATGTAATTTCTTAGTAAGCTATTTTATACTATATACAGAATAATATAAAGTGCAATAAGAAAACACGTTTTTAAATTTATATGAAATTTTAATAAGCCTTCTAAAATTTTAGAATAGCCATGAATTTAAACCCTAGACGACTTCCATTCAGCGGTGGCGCCCCTCACGTGCTTGTGTTACACTACCCTGTGAACACGGCTACAATACAACTTCGTTTAGCCATATCGATATGTAAATTAGGAGCGAAGTTTGAATTTGTTAACTTGCATATGCGAAAAGCGAAACGTATCTGTTTTTATGTAACTCATGTGGCTCCCCGTAATGTGAATTCTAAACGCGTCAAATATAAATTATGCAGCGATGTGGTCAGAGTAATGAATAAAGAAACGCGGTAACACATACTGCAAGCTGTTATTGACTATTATTTGCTCGTTAAAATAAATATTGATCTCCGTTTCTATACAAAGAAACATTGCTAAAATGTAAAGCATTCATTTAAAAAAAAAATTTATAAGAATGAACAAATACCGGTAACCAAAACAATTGTTCTTTAAATAACTTTATATAGAATCATGAATTTAATTGGAGGTTATTATTCAACAAACACATGTTAACACCGAATAATGAATATCGACAACGCTTGAACATTAATTCCTCTCTTCGCTCAGTCTATACGCGATATTTTTGAGATAAAAGCAAATTGTAAAAACATTAAAATTTCTTATTATTAAGTTCAGTTGTTGTTTCATAAAAGATTTAAACGTTTGTTCATTTTAAATATCACTACACAATCACGAGCAGAGAGTCTTAGCGCTCCACGAGCAACAATCTCGTTCAAAGTCCCCAATTGGCCACTTAACACCTGCTATTATAATAGGGAAATTATGTGATACTAAAAAGGACGCCATGATAGGCTAATGTTTTCATGGTCAAGGAAGTTCAGACATTATGACATTTAACAGTGACATACGTCAACAGCTGCTGTGAGTGGAAGTATCTATATTACTCCTGAATTGCTCTTTAGACAACATTGTCCTATGTACCTAAAACTTTTTAGTAGTTTTCTTATCTCCATTAATTAACATAGTAATTACTGTTTTTATAGAATAAATCATATGAATTATAAATTTAAAATAACAAGTTTTCATTGGTAATGCTATCATGAATACCAACTTCTCAAATATTAAAAAATTTATTACTTTTCCTATAAAGTAACTGCAAAATAAAATGTTAACACAAAATTAAAATACATTTTAATTTTATTGATTTTCTGTACTAGGTATCACCATAACAAAATATGTAGTAATTTTTAATACATTTGGATTTTATAGTTCACGGTAATAACTCATGATTAAGCTTTTTTACTATCTTTATTATTGTATGATACCCATACACGTAATATCAATTGTAATATGTGCGTCTAAATTGGTAGGCATTAAGTCTTCATTTTTACTGCTCTTTTAACACGTTAAGCGCGGCGTCAGTCCGTGGGGACTGACAGTGAACTTTTCGTTTGGGTGGCGTCGGTCCGTGGGACCGGCAGTATCATGTTTAAAAAATAAATGTTGTGCACGTCTCCTTCTTCTTTTTTGCAATTTACGAACACTTTTTCTATCAACCCGGATTGGTATTTCTTCGTCTGAATGCCGTGTGAGCGCATTTGTTATCTTCTGTTTATACTCTATAACCGAACAGCTCGCGAAGTGATCGCCGCTGTGTGCCGCCTGAACGGGAAGCAGTGCGAAATCGGCTCCGCGCTCAACGTGTTAATTATGAAACCTGCTCTAATTTAGTTGTTGAACAAAATTCAAATATTCCTAATACATTCAAAAAAGGAAATAAAATAAAATAAATATTTTGATATATTTATACATTCCAATAATGGTATTTTCTTAAGTATATTAATACATTGGCTGTATTGTGCCTGTTTAATATGAGGTCAGTAAACAATGATTATTAAAATGAACATGTGTATTGTTTGGTGATATTTTACTTTACAGGGCCCTTATACTTTATAATTCACATTTGAATCTATTTCTATAATTTAAAAACTTCTTCATCTTAATATGCTACGCTAACAGTAATATCTTTCAGCTCTATTTTATCAACACAGTTTCAACAGTTAGGAAAGTGTAAGTTCGATTTACTTTGTAGTAAATATAACTAGAGCCCCGTGTAAAAAGAACTGATAGGACACCTTAAGCATGAGGATTACGGAATTTGTCGCCTGCATATTTGGCAGCTGCACCCAATTCTTCTTCAATGCGAAGAATTTGATTGTACTTGGCCAAACGTTCTGAACGGCAAGGTGCGCCCGTCTTAATTTGACCAGTCGATAGACCAACAACTAAATCAGCTATAAACGTATCTTCTGTTTCTCCGGAACGGTGAGATACCATTGTGCCCCAACCAGCGCTCTTAGCAAGCTTGTGAGCATTAATTGATTCTGTGACAGTACCTATTTGATTAACTTTCAATAACAGACAGTTGCAAGCCTTTTTCTCGATAGCTGTTTTAATTCTGCAATGTATAAGAAACACATAATAATATTAGTATTTATGAATATAAACAAAATTTGAATTGATATTGAAAGTTATGTAAAGTTTTTATACATTCTCAATTTTATAAAAAATTGAAATCAGTTCAATAAAAGAATTTATATAAAACTAAAATAAAAATTATGTAGTAATAGTTAAAATTTAAAACACTTTAATTTATAATTTTCGGTGTTTGAATCATTAAAATTTCTAAAAATGCTATATTTACCTTTCGGGATTTGTAACCGTAAGATCATCACCTACGATTTGAATTGGGGTGGAAGATGTTATAGAAGTCCAAGAAGCCCAGTCATCTTGGTCAAATGGATCTTCAATTGATACAATTGGGAATTCTTTAACGAAATCTAAATATAAGTTCTTCAAAGCTTGTGGTTCCAAATATGTGTTTGGATCGGACTTCTCGTTCTTAAAGTCTAAATCGTATTTTCCATTTTTATGGAATTCAGACGCGGCAACATCCATACCAATTTTAATTTTTCCTGCATATCCAGCATATTTAATATTATATTTATATATATCATTCATGGAAACGCTTTTATCTTTTTATTGTTACGTGCATAAATTTATTACTATAGAATTTTATTTTTTTATAGAAATAGAATACTTACTTTGATGGCATCTAGGATTAAATTCAAAGCTTCTTTGTTTTCTAAAATATTTGGAGCAAAACCACCTTCATCTCCAACAGCAGTAGCATCAAGACCAAACTTCTTCTTAATGCCAGCTTTCAAATGATGGTAAACTTCGGTACCCATTTTCATTGCTTCTGTGAAATTAGCAGCACCTGTAGGTAAAATCATGAACTCCTGCATGGCTAATTTGTTTCCAGCATGTGAACCACCATTAATAACATTAAAAGCTGGTACTGGTAAAATAATATTGGCATTTCCTGCCAATTCTGCAATATATCTGGAATTACAAAATAATTGTTAGAAGTATTTAATACATTTCAAACATTAGAAATCATAGTATAACACAAAATTGTAACTGGTACTAATATGTTAAAATAGAAACATAACTTAAAAATCATACTCACTTGTACAAAGGAACTCCCTTTTTAGCAGCTCCTGCTTTACAAACTGCTAATGAGACACCTAAAAGTGCATTTGCACCAAGTTTTGATTTGTTTGGTGTACCATCAAGTTTTAGAAGAAGGTTATCAATATCAGTTTGTTGTGTCACTTCCAAGTTTGACTAACAAAAGATATTTTAATATTAATTAACAAATAAATTCCTTTCTTTATTGCTTACATAAAAAGTAAATGTTAAACCTTTGATAAAATAAAAACAAATACCTTTAATAATTCAGGTGTGATGGTATTGTTAATATTTTCTACAGCTTTGAAGACTGATTTTCCATGATATTTAGATTTATCATTATCGCGAAGTTCTAAAGCTTCATGAACACCAGTTGAAGCACCCGATGGTACTTCAGCTCTAAAAAGTCCATTATCTGTGACAAGATCAACCTGTAAAGAAAATATTGCAGATTACAAATTGCCATGAATTATGATCATAATTAAATTCAAAGCTAGAAAATTACAATTACAAATTGATAATATATAATAGGAATAACATAATGGACATTTATAGAATGTAATTTATTACATATTGAAAATAAAAATTTGCATATATGAATAAATCTTTGACTTATCAATGATAATATTACAGCTAAATTATAATTGAATATATTTGAATATTATACTTTATATAATCTTACCTCTACAGTAGGGTTACCACGGGAGTCAAAAATTTGACGTGCCTTGATGCTTTTAATTGGCATTTTTGCAGAAAAACCAGAAGTGCTGTAGTTTGAGATTAAAGGTCTAAAACAAAAATATGTGATATTAATAAAATATTAATTCAAAATGTTGAACAAATGTTAAATTCAACTGATTTAATACGAAGGGGCGTTATATTACAACCTCTAAATTGTATGGGTATCAATAACTAATAGTTCTAAAAATAAGTTGTCCCTGCTTATCTTAAATGTCAAACTAATAACCTTAAATTTAAGCGATTTAAATATTTGTCATCAATTTAGAATACCGAATACCGGTACATAAATTTATCTTGGAAATAATATTTGACCTTGGCAAGGTCACTGGAAAAATCTTGAGGAATTTAAAATAGAAGTAATAATTCTTTTATTTCAAAGGTTTTAAATATTTAAAAATTCACGGTAACGTATTCGGATTACCGCGTATAATGACCTTACGATGAAATTTCGGCCCGTAGTGTATGCGGTACGTATCAGGAACATTTTTCTAGTTTTGGAAAACAAAATTCTACGAAAAATGTGTATATGAAATTTTGATATCTTCTACAGCACGTAAAAATTCTTGAAGTTATGATTTATTACATGTCGAGCAAAACTCAAAAGAAATCTGCTCACCTAGCGTTATGCGTGACAATCCTCTTGAAATGTTCGAAGTAGAATGATACTCCCGTCCTACAGTTGACCTCAAGTCATGAATGTACCGCTTTTCTATCGATTCTGATCTTACGTACCAATCTAATCGCGGATGTGTTGAAATTAAGATTTTACGTTATAGACTATAAACAATAATATAACACAAATATAACACTTGGAAGAGAAATCTTAAAGCGCTTATCAACTAAAATTTTAAATTTTCTTACGATTAAATAATATATATTACGTAATTTATAATGGCTACTTTACTGCCTGTTGGAAAAGCTTCATTATGATTCACTATCTCTATATTATATTATTCATGTTCTTTGAGATACGATTCATTTATAAGCGCGCGAATTTGTAAAATAGTGTTAAAATTATAAGTGTTATGTTACAATGAATTTTCAATATAATACATTAACCTATTAAGTTATTCTAACTTAATATATTATTAAGGACAAATAAAGAAAGTATATTTACTAATAGAAATAATTTTTATTTAAAGTAAGTGAAACAATACCATTGCTATAAACAAATTTTATTTACCCTGTTTTTAAGATAAATGGAATTTATTTAACAAAGAAATTAATATCAAAATTAAGTTTTCATTATTCAATGAACTATGTTTCATAAACAATATAACTGATTGTAAAAGATAAAAATTTTAATAAACATGTGTAAAGAACGTTTTTGTAGGTAATATCATAAAAAAAATAATTATTATCCTTTCCTAAATTACTATTTTTTATGAAGGTTAATATTTTAC